TGCCGGGGAAGGAGGGACAATCTCCTCCTGTACCAGTCAGATCTGATTTAACGGTACACACACACAAATAATAAAATTTGAAAAAAGTATTTTATTTTAATATTTTTGTGTGTGTGTATGTCAAATCGGACCTGACTGGTAAAGGAGGAGTCTCTGCTGGATTCAAACCACATGCCTCTGGGATTGCAGTGCAGCTTCTTGCCACTAGACCACCAGAGCCCCAAAAACTGAATTTTGTTTTTAATCAAACATTCCGTTCACATTTTCTTTTACATCATAAATTCTAATTCACACAATATAGTTCTCTCACTTTCTCCCTATAATTCTCATCTCCATTTGTCCTTCCCAACCCTCCGTATCTTTAGGGATTTCTCTTTGGGAAGGTTGCCTCTTCTTATAGTGACTATTCAATATGAAGTTGTATGAAGAACAATCCTTTTAACGATAAACAATCTGTAAAGATCCAAGATCCTTAATAAATGTTGATCAGAGAAATCATAAGGTAAAATTATTCATGTTACACTGACTTCTCCTTTTTGAGGTTAAATGGCTATAGAAGACATTAATGAAGCAGCCCGAGAACAGATCCACGCTTTTCCAAAATTTTCATGGATGAAATAGTTAAGCCAACTATTGAACTAAGAAGGTAAGCCAGCTACTTCTTTTTCTTTCTTTTTTTTTTAAGATTTTGTACAGTCAATTATTTATTCATTGTAAATATTTTCTCTTTTTAGTTCTGCTCGTTACCTTGTTTAATTTTTTTTTTAATTTTTATTTTATTATTTTTGTGTGAGTGTACCGTCAAATCAGATCTGACTGGTACAGGAGGAGATTGTCCCTCCTACCCCGGCAGAGCATCTGGTGGATTCAAACCGTGTGCCTCTGAGATTGTAGTTGCACCTCCTTACCACTAGGCCACCAGAGCTCTTGTTTAATTTTTTAATTTTATTTTAATGAACATAGACAGCTACTTCTTGGAGAATAATATTTAGAGCAAGGTTGTCAGGAAAATTACTTCTGGTCAATGCATAACATAAGCATCTGTCACTGGAAGCTGCAAGGTACTAAGAATGTCAAAAGAGTTTGAGTGGAATTCTTTGCCTAAGACGGATAAGAAATAAAGGGTAGTGATTTACTTTAAAACAATCAGCCAGTGAGAACCTTCTAGATCCTAAAATCCAAACTCCAAGGGATTGTGAGGATGACACAGGCCAGGCAGTGTATTGTTGTATTGTGTTGTGGACGGGGTTGCTATGAACCAATGTGATAAGAGTAAACAACAACTACCTTCAAACCTGGGATGCCTGATTTAATAACCCAGTCAGCTGGCTTTAGAGATTTTGGATCTTTTGTTCTGTGTGTATGTTGGATGGGTGGGAGTGTTAAAGTGGATTCGAGGGAGATGATTCATAAACAAATTAGGTTGCAAAATTTGGAAATAATCATATTCTTAAATGACAGTACACAGAAAGAGAGAAGAGAGACGAGAGACATACACACACACAATTCTCTAGGATAAAAGTTAACTGGACAATTTAAAATTATAACGGTGGACGTAATTCAACAGTGATTAATTTTATAAAGCACAATGAATAGGAATGATTGCATGAAACACAATATGAATGAAGGATAGTGTAAAACATAATGTACATGAATTTTGTATAAAAACCAACATAAAATAATTTTTTTAAAAAAAGAGCTACTCTAATCTGCAGTTCAGAGTCTACTCCCTCACCACTTATACCATCTAATCAACCCGGCAGAGGAAGGAGAGGAGGCTGACTGACCTGTGATGGGGGCCTGAGGTCGGCTCCAGCGAACAACAATCGAGGTGTCATCCACTTGATCCACGGTAGGGTCAGGAGGTGCATCCGGTGCTAACAAAGAAAGGAGGGAATGAGGACGACAGCCAGGTAACGGGGCTGGAGCCCACGATTCCCAGGAACAGATTCCTTAAACACCACGTGGTACCCACATACCCGTGGTCTGGGACGTAGACAGGATCAAACTCTGTTCTCCTTCCTCGGAGATCTGATAGACATTTACGATGTACTTCCGGCCAGGAAGCAGGTCAGGGATGTTCACAGAAGTCGCAGTGCTGGGAAGATCTTTGAAAAGAAAGGTTACAAAGCAGAATGAATCAGAAAAGATTTTTAAAACGAGGGATTCAGATCAAACTTACAACAACTGAGTCAATTACCCCACTCAGTGATCCTGTAGCAAAGTTATGACTAAGCCTTGGTTTCCTAGGATGTAACTCTTTTCTGACCTAAACTGCCACATGTTTTCAAAGCAGTGACCATTTGGTGAGCAGTCAACCTCACTAACCATTGCACTACTCAGGCACCGAGGCTTTCTATTTAAAGGAGGAAAAAGGGCAGACTTTAAGGAAAAATCCTAATGAAAACTCTCGAATTATCATTCCACTATGGGATCCTTTTTTCTCCATTTTTGGCATCAACTATTTTTTTCCCCTGTATCTCTCTAGTTTTAGAATCTAGCTCCACATTTGAAACTGTAAAACTTCACTGCAGCTGGAAGTGGGGTTACTGGCAGCATGAAGCCGGAAGGGGTGGGCACAAGAGCTCTTCTCTTGTTGTGGATGCTGCTCATATGGATGTGATTAACCTTATAAAAATTCATCAAGCTGGGTGCTAATGATTTGCACACTTTTCAGTATGCAGGATATATGCGAATGAAGTTTTGAAATGTTGCCCTAAGAATGTAAAGGTACAGTGCCTATCTTTGCCAAAGAGGCAATTTTGGGTGGCAGCTTTCAATGGCAATGAATTTCATAAAGAAAACCATTCAACTATATAGCCTTGTGCTCAGGCAAATGCATAATGTGAAAAATGGGGATAAATCAAGAAAAACCCAACAGAGTTGTAGCAACTCTAGGCTGGGTGCCTGAAATGGTCAGTCTCTTCCCTTTCACACATCTAGGGGTGGTCTGTTCAGTCTGAGCTGTCAACTAGTTCCAACACAAGACCACCTTCTTCCAGTCTACCCTCACCCTGGAGGGTTTACCAACACCCACTCTCACCTGGGACCTCACTTACCAAGGTACTGTGGTTCATCGCCTTCCTCACTCAGTTCATATTCCACTCGGAACCCTGACACGGTGTCCGAAGCCGAGACCCACGAGACCACAAAGCTGCTGGCTGTGATTTCCGTCACAGATTCAGACGTGGTCACAAGCGGAGAAAAGGGTGTTGTCTCTCCTGTCACAGTGTTACCTAGAGTCACAGAGAAGTACATGTGTGTCTTCATCTATCCAGAACAGTTAATACATTCAGCCTCAAAACATCACTTAAAAGACCAACACGAACAACAAAGAAAAGTTCTTTCTGAGGCCAGCCCAGGTCACAGAGATGTAGGGGCAGGCGTGATGGTGGCAGGTACGTACTGGTCACAGGTGGGCTGGTGCTGGTGGTGGTGAAGTCAAAGCGTGTCACCTCCTTGTGGCCATACTGCTGGACGCTGATGAGCTGTCCCTCGTAGACCACCCCAGGTCTCAGGCCTTTGATTGTGTGTGAGTTTAAGTGGCCTGGGATTGTTGCCTCCCTCCAACGGTTTTGAGAATTTTTCTTAAAAAAAAAAAATTCCACAAAATTCAGAGGCATGTCTTAATAGACTTTAAAGAAGAAAAAAGAAGGATACAACTTTCATTTGATAGGAAACTCCTAGAAAATTGGAATTGGTGCAAACTTGTAATACAATTTGTGAATATTAAAAGTAGTTATTAATAGTGCTGTTGGGTTTTGAGCTCTGGTGGTGTAGTGCACAGGGAGTTGCAATGCTAGGCCAAAGCTGGTCCATTTCTGGAGGTTCAATTTACCAGCAGCACTTGGAGAAAAGGTGGACAATCTCCTCCAATGTGATTTACAGCCTCAGAAAAATACCACTGGACGGTCATTTATGGGTTGGTCCTGACCTGAGGGCAACGGGTTGAGTAGTTGAAAGCAGATTGTCTTGGGAGCTCATGATGTTCTATCATTGTGCTGTTGGACTTAACTTTCCAGTCACTCAATTCGCACCTTCCCCACCGAGGGGGTGACATCAATGATCCACTTTGCACAAGTAGAAAGAAGCAAGTGATGCATCCAATGTTAACAAAAACCTGCTCTGGGCACACTCTTTGCACCAAATCAATTCTTTACTAAGATGGTCTTCAAATGAGGAGAACAAATCTCAGGTTCCCCAACTTTTTTTTTCTCTCTGGTGAAGAGAGTAAGGCCATGGATTCTATCTTTCATCTTAATGAAACACAATGCAAATTTCTGCTTTCTAAAAAAATTCAAAGGCACCATGTTGCTTTGTGAATCATTTCCTGGGACCATCTCATGCAAAATTCAAGTGGTCTGGCTTTCTGGTTCATTCTTGAATATGAACTATCCCATCAAAAGCGGTTAACCAACTTTGGGCAAAACTGCAGAAGAATATGATTTCTGTTTACTTAATCTTTTGCTTCCAGTTTACATTTGTGAATCCTGTCCAACCTCATTAATATGTCATGAATCATAAATCTCACTGCAATAAAATACATGGAAGAGAAACATCCTCACATCAAACAAAATGGAAGTCTTCCAAGTGAAATTATTCTAAACTAGAAGAAGTCAAAATACGTTTAGAATGTCAAGTAATTTTTATAAGTTATTCAATCAACCAGTTGATCAATATTTCAGATATTCAAGTACTACTTATAGTATAGGAATAAATAAAAGTGATGTTAGTAGTCTTTAATTAAACTTGAATTTTAACTCAAATACACTCTCAAAAAATTTGAAGTTAATCATTACAATTAGCTAAGCTTCAGATGTGATTTTTTTTTTTTTTAAAGTTGCTTATCAGTAGGAAATACCAGAAAATAAACTTCAGGAAGCATACATTAAGGAAAAACATGATTTTTTTTTTCTGGTTATTATTTTAAAAAAATCTCAAAGAAAACCATTATTGCTGTTCTTTGAAGATTTCAATTCAAAGGTTAAGCACCTAACCGCTAAAAGTGGGCAGTTGAGAATCACTAGCCGCCCTGCAGGAGAAAAAACAGACAATGTGCTCCCAGAAAGAATATAGCAAACCCTTTGGTGCAGTTCTACTTTGTCACAATGATATGAACCAAGTTGGATTTGACAGTACTGAATAACAACACACATTTTATACCTGCGCCTCTACCCTCCCAGGGATATCCAGAAGCCATAAGCTGCATGGGTTGAAATTGCCCAACTTTCTCTCACAGAGCAGCTGGTGGATTTGAACTGCCGGCCTTTGGTTTGGTAGTGCAACTCCCTAGTCACCAGAGCTCCCTTGTGAATATAGTGGTGTCATCGAATACTTCAAAGGTTGTTGTTGTTGTTGGTGTTGTTGTTGTGTACCATCAAGTCAGAACCGACAGAGAGCTGACCCTCCTGAAAATTTTCAGAGTCAGTTTAATTGCATGGGAGAAAAACTGTCCAATTGTCTCCCACAGAGCAGCTGGTGGATTTGAACCAGGTACCTTCAGGATTGTAGCCATTTCTTACCATTAGGTGACCAGAGCTCCTTTCAAAGGGAAGTTGAAAGTAATCACAATTGGAGGTGAGATTAAATGATGAGAAACGAGAGAGTGTTTGAGGAGGAATAAAACGAGATACCCAAATCTTGCAAATAACTACTCACGACACTATACTGGTAATCTCGGGGCCTAGTGATAAGGAGGGTTGCACTGTCAGCCCGAAAGCACAGTTCAACTCCACCAACTGTTTTGTGGTAAAAAGGAGGACAACCACTTCCTCTGCAAATTACTGCCTCTGAAAACCCACTGGAGGGTCAGCTATGAGTTGAATCTGTACCACCACCACAGCAACAAATACATATTAAAATGGAGGGTAAAAGACAAAAAATCAAGTCCCAACAGTTTGAACTCTTCCAAGAGTTTTAGTACAAGTGTATATGCTGGTCAAAATTTTAATTGTTAGAATTCAATAGCTGTTATTAACAAAACATTTTCTTCCTGTGTTAAAAACAGTGGTGCTAAAGAATGAGTCATGGACTTTGGAGACATAACAGGGAAAGTCTGAAAGGGCAAAAAACGAAAGCTTGAAAGATCAAGAGCCTTTATAGTTCGATTTCTTCAGTTTTTTTTAGACACTTATTAGAAAACGACAAGCCTCATTCCTTAAATAAACCAATTATCATCCCTGAGGATGACATTTTACCTTCTCATCATCTCTTTTTCCATCAACCTAAATAACTATCTGAAAAGCATCAAAAATGAGGTTCTCAAAAAGTGATGACTTTAAAAAGTAAATCAAAAGAAAGATAATAATGTAACTATTTTTTCCCAATTATGGAAATATTCTCATTAATTTTTTCCTTGGTTGAGATCGCAAGACGTCAAAAACTTCAGAGGCTCTTCCCACAAAGGGCAAGAATACTTTTAAGCATTGTCAACTTCTAAGTCCTTCTTACAAAGATTTTTCTTGAATAAAGATTAAAATTCATCTAAGTACTGAGAAAGCGAAATCTGTGTGTTAATTAGATTGATAATATTGGCTGTTCACGAAACAAATATATCAGCTATATGAACAGTCAATCAGATCTAGAAGTTCACAACTATATGAATAGTTATTAAATCATAACTATTTGAATGGTCAATCAGATCAGTTACAGTTACAAAAATATCACTATATCATACATATTCATGTTACATGTTATAGTTAAGAACTCTTAAATATAGGAACAGTTAATCAGATCTAGAGCTGAGGTTGAGAGCAGAGCGTAAGGAAGTCCTTAAGAATTGTTAAGGGTAGGTATTCTGTGCCACCTTGGTAGGATACTCACGGGTCTCCACCTCAGGATGTACTTGGTAATATGAGTTGTTTCTGGAACATTCCACTGTATGGGGTGAGAGTTAGGCTGGCTGGGACCCTCTGTGATGATTACTTGGATAGGTTCAGATGAGCCTGAAAAGGAGAAAGTTGAGATGTGTTTAGGTTGGTTATTCACACAGTTAAAGATTAAATTTAGTGTACACAGATGACCACCGTCAAAAAGAGTTTTATCTGTTAATAAATGGGAGAATAAGCAGAAATGATCTATGTTAACACTTGTGCCCACTGATATCTGAAATCAAAGCAAGAAAAACTCATGCTTAACTAATAAATGTGTTTCCTTTGTGTGAGAAATGCAAATAGAACTTGTCTAGAGACATCAAAACAAAGCTGTGGGGGTTTTTTTTAGAAAAGGATATCTTAAATTTGCCTCTTTTTTTCTTCTCCATTTTCAAATAAAGATTGTGAGAAAATTGTGGAACTATCCTAGCACAAACAATGGGATAAAGAATAAAAATTCATTGCTTATTAAGTCTCTTCAAGGAAATGTTAATTTAGGAAGGCTTCCATCAAGAACAGAGTCTCTCATCTAAGAAGGAAACCTCATTCCAAGAGCCACAACATCCTGTAAGACAAGTTCTGTGATAACATCTTATACAGATAAGTAATAATTAAGGACCTAGATTTACTTTTGATCAGTGTGTAAAAACAATTACACAAGAATAATAACTTTAAAGTATGCCACCAATCTGACAAAGGATTATTAAAACAAAATTTTCTCTAAAGAAGTTGTCAATTGAAATGAGTCTGTATTCAATATCACTTCAGTTATTTCCACATCTTAATGTACATGGCTGGTACTTCAAAATGTAAAGTTTTATTGTGGTTTCTTTTTATTTTTTTTAAAGTATGAGGGCAGAATATTAAGTTCTTATAAATATAAAACTCACTCAGGATAATAATGAAAAACGTGGAAAAGCTATGTCTGCAAAACAGACACTATTTTTTTTAAACATTATCTTTTTTATATTAATCAAGTTGCTTTTCTATTAATTTCAGCTAATTTTTAAATTTGGAAGAAATAAAAATAAAGTTTCTTTTCATAATCTTCTAAGAATTCCTAACAGTCACTGTGTCAAGCACAGCAAAATTTTACATTTTTAATAAAATAAATTACCAGATTATGTATAGATTTAAATTTCCTGAGAGCTTCCAGATTAAAAGACAAGTGTTTCCAAACTCATTATTTCAAACAAAAGAAAACAAAACAAAAAACAAACTCATTATTTCTGCTGTTAAATTCTCCCTGGAAACAAAGTTTCTCTAGCAGAAAACTATATAACTTGTCTATCTATGAACTCAAAGTTCTGAAATAATTTACTTGTTTTTACAATGAAAATAATTCAAAGTTGGAGACTAACAGAAATCTTTTTTTAACAGAATTTCACTTAAAACAAACATTTTTAAGGCACATGAATATAAAATTCATATATAAAATCCTCATTTTTCCATTCTAATATAGTATATATACTTAATGAACATAACAAGGTGCTGATTTTAATCAGTTGGCAAAAGCCAATTTCATACCCCTCTTTGAACGATCTCTGCTCTTCCTGAGGCAAAGTATAGATGTATTTAAAATACTAATATCTAATCAAAGTTTCAAAGAACTGATTGTTTAAAGTATTTCCAGGTAAATCAGTAAACACAATAAATATTAGGCCCTTAAATTACGAATGGTTGTGGGCAAAAGGTTTCAGAAAATGGGTCTTCTTTTAAAATCCTACTATTAATTTCCTCCGTTAAAGAGGAATCTGAGTTAGTTTATCAATAAAGTTTTGAGAGTAAAAAAAAAAAATTACAATTATTAAATTTCCACCACGATTACATTTTTAAGAAGATAACACAAATGACCTTTTCTCTTCACCTTAGCTTGTTCTGATGTCCACAAGGGAAGGAACAGCAAAGATGAAGGAAAAAAAGAAGAAAAAATCCATTTCAACGTGTTTGAGAAGTTTCTGGTTGGTCAATTGGCTCAAACAAGAGATTGGCTGCTGGAACTCCCACCCCCAGAGGTGCCTGGCAAGAAAAGCCCATTGATCTGCTTCTCAAAAGATTCAATTCTCAGAAAATCTTAGTGAGAAGTTCCACTCGGTACATATTGGGCTGTCATGAGTCAATGTTGACTCTATAGTTACTGGTTTAATGTAATTTTGGGTTTGAATGATTTTTTTTTCTTCTAAGTGGCATAGCACTGGTCTGTCCATTTGCTGTACAGAGGTAACTTGTGGTTGCTCTGATGCTAAACACCATGACACTAATGTGTCAAATGTGATGATGGTTACCCACTGTGGACAGTATTTGGTGGGGCTCCCTGATTAAAACAAACTTAGAAGCAGGAGTGGCATCTACTTCCGAAATAGCTTGCCTCCAGAAACTACGAACATGGAGAAACGATAGAAGTTATACAAGTGTTCAGGTCTTTCATTCATAGGGTCATTATGAGTTGTGTATGACTCGACAGCACTTAACAACAACAACAATGAGATTTATCCTTGTCAAAAGTGATGAGAGAGACAAAGCTACAGAAATTTCTGTCCTTCAAGAATCCAAGCACTTCTCTCTCTCTTCTTTTTTTCACATTTTTTTCTAAAGTTTTTTTGTGTACCATTGAATCAGATACACCTGGCACAGAAGATTTGCCATTCCTTTTCCAGCACAGCATCTGGTGGATTTGAACTGCATGCCTTCGGGATTGCAGTGCAGCTTCTTGCCACCAGAGCTCCCTTCACTTCTTAAGACTTCAAGCACTGCAATACTGTGTTTAAAAATTAGGCTTATACTACATTGTAATTAGGTGCTGTCAAGTTGAGTATGACTCATAGCAATCTTATGCACAACAGATCTGAGCCCTATTCTATCCTGTGCCATCTTCATCATCTCTAACACACTTGACCGTGTTGCTGCAGTCATGTGTCAATCCTCCTGGTTAAGGGTCTTTCTCTCTTTTGCCAACCCTCTACCATTCCAAGCATTATTTCCCTCTGCAAGAAATTGCCTTTCCCAGCAACATGCCCAAAAGGTATCAGCTTGAAGACTAGGGTGCACCTGATTTAGGCCTTGGTCTTTTCAAACGCTTGCTATGTGTGTATCTGAGAGGTGGACAATGAATAGGGATGACAGATGAAGAACTGATGCTTTTGATTTGTGGTGTTGGAAAAGAGTACTGAATAGCCCATAGGCTTCCAAAAGAACAAACTGATATGCCTTGGAGAAAGTGCAGTCAGAGTGCTCCTTGGAGACAAAGACGATAAAGCTTTGTCTCAGATACTTTGGCATGTTGCTTTGGGCCAGTACCATAGTCCACCTTAAACGAATCACACTGAACGGCAAGAGGGATTGCACACCCTTAACAGTTCAATCCCTAGAATGAAGATGTCCTATCAGTTATCTGTTAGGTCAATTCACTTCCTACTATAACCATGCTCTACCTTACACTGTAGATTTTGAAGATGGGAACGCTGAAAATTCTGAAATAATGTATTTTTTTTTAACCATTCCTTTGATTTTGGTTAGCTGGTACAGCTTTTTAAATTAACCAGCATATGGGAACACTTAACATTTGAAATATTTATATATTCAGCTTATGAAACTCATTTTGAAGCCACTGTTTAATCTCTCTTATTAACCAGATCAGAATAACCATATAATTGTTAAGAAAGACTATGATGTCATTTCTATACTTTTAAAATTAGTTTAAAAAAGGGCCCAGCTGAGTAACTTCCGGTAACAGTGACCCTGGAGAAGTTAAACATTTATGAGTTTCTAGCCAGGCTTTTTTTCTTCTATTTACTGAGATCTGTGCTTCCCTGGTTGCGTATTGACAAACCCAACATCTCTTATCTTCTGTTCATTTGAACAACTCTACCAAGTCCCCTGTGAGAAGAACAAACAGGTCAGGCTTCAGGACAATCCACCGGTAAGCTGTGGTTCTTCACCTATCCGACTCTCTCCGAGTCCCACACCCTGGGCTTGGCCCACTGAGCAAGCCAGACATACAGATAAGCACCAAACCAGAGACCTGCGCTCAAATGCAATCCTTTCTCTCTCAATGCCCGTCTGCCCAGTGGCTTGACTCTTGTTTCAGAGTAGAAACATGGGAACTTAAAACTCCAACTCTGAGGTTTACTCCCTTCCAGATTTCACCTCTGACGTATCTACCTAAATGCTTCTTTAGGCAGATGGGATTAATTTGAGTGAGAGATGGAGAGAGGAATAGTCTAAATCATTGTGGTCATTTTCAACACATTGCCATGCCAATTACAATCACAAACACAGAAATTAGGCACCATTTCTTTAGAAGTTTCTATTCTAAGGGGGCTCTTGTGGCCTAGTGGCAAGAAGCTGCACTGCAATCCTGAAGGTACGCGGTTCGAATCTACCAGATGCTCCGCTGGAAAGGGAGGGGCAAACTCCTCCTGTGCCAGTCGGATCCAATTCGATGGTACACCAAATTAAACATAAATTATTTTTTTAAAGATTTCTGTTCTTCGGTTACATCACTAAAAAAGGGAATGAAAGAAAGAAAGAGTATAGAACTTCAGAACCCTAATACCTCTGCAATCAGACCACAGAAAAGTATTATTACATTTTAAACATTATTTTAAGTTACTCTTACAATACGAAATGCAACTTGAAAGTTAATTTTTTTGATCTGCCCATGAACTCATTAAGGCACCTTCAGCAGCCCAAACAGAGTGTGTGTGTGTGTGTGTGTGTGTGTGTGTGTGTGTGTGTGAGAGAGAGTGTGTGAGGGTTAGGGAGAGCAGGATTTCCTTAATTTGGGTGGATGCTAGTGAGGATCTCAACTTATTCAAAGGTTAATGCTAGAAAGCACTTCAAAGAAAATCAGGTACAATCTTCCCATTTTACAGATAAGGAGACGGAAGGATGAGTTTCATACATAATTCCTCAGGGGAGTACACAGAACTAGGAATGCCTGTCCTGCTTAACCCTGCCTTTGGTGAGTTGTAAGGTATCATGTTCTCTGTAGTAGTAAATGTCTTTTCACATTATAGAAAGACTTAATGTCATATGCATTTCTGTTGCAGGGAGAATGAGACACGCTCAAATTCTTTTGTTTCTGAATGTTGGCCATGTTTGAAATCTAAAATTGACAGAACTCTAAGACACTCTGCTCTTCAGTAGTTGCACAAATAATTGCAGCCTAAAATTAGATCTTCATAATTTATCATGTTTTATTATAATTAATTGCTCAATAACAAGTACGCTCATCATTTCACTTCTTATAAAGAATAACACCTACAGTTAGACCTTCTGCCTATCAGGCTCAGTTGCTTACTAAAAAGTCTGTGATTTGAAACATCAACCACAGTCTGTTTTCAGAAAGGTTTACAGTCTTGGAAACCCTATGGGGCAGTTTTAGGATGTCTTACAGGCGTCTGTGACTGGGAGTCAGCTTAAAGGAGTTGGAGGTGTTTTGAGCAGTTTTATGTCAAAGGACAGAGCAGTATGTCCTTGTGACCTGAAAAAACCCAACAATAAACATTTGACAGTGTTTGAACTGTGTGGACAAAGAACTGACCACATTGCTCAACTCTAGACCAAAGGTACTTTATTCCAGAATTTAACAGCTCAAACAAATGAACATTTCAATATTCAGTTAAGTGTCTAGATGAAATGTGGAATCAATGAATAGCCTATGCTGTATCTCACACAAACTTGTTTATAAAACGTCTCTGTTAAGAACCATACTTCCTCTATTCCTATCCTAACTCACTTCATCGTTCCTATGGTATCTCTCTTTAGTAACAATGAACAGTGTGAGATGAAATTAGCTAGAGTGGTTAAATCCGAAAGACTGTTCTTCAGTGTTATGAATGACATGCAAGTACTTGTCTAAAGTCTACAAGGCTTTCTACTTGATTGTGGAAAAATAATTACCATACTAGCTAAAAATTGATTGACAGGGAGCTCTGGTGGCCTAGAGGCAAGAAATTGCACTGCAATTCCAGAGGTGCACGGTTCAAATCCACCAGAGGCTCTGCTGGAGAAGGAGGGACAATCTCCTCCTGTACCAGTCAGATCCAATTTGACAGTACACACACACAAGATAATAAAATTTTTTAAAAAATTTAAAAAACTGATTGATGATTAGAAAATGACATGAGAGAAGAATGGGCAAGAACCTATCAATTGATGCAGAAAAAGCCTTTGATAAAATCCAACACCCTTTCATGATTAAAGCACTCAACAAAATAGGATTAGAGGGGAATT